CCAGGGCAGAAGCGCCCACAGGTAAACCCGTTGCCATGGAGTCAATTCCGAATCTTAGGGCCCTAGTGGACAGAGTGGGGCTGCTCCATCCGGTTTCCAACGCTGTAATCTTTACAGAAGCAGTCTGCCACATTGTTCTTCCCCAAAGCGGCTGGTGGGATTGAATAGCCCTCCTTTCCTCGGGTTAATCACAGTGCCACCACGACTCTCGCATACAAGGCGAGGACTTCATTTCGTGGCCTAGGTGAAGGGCGGGGCCGTCACTACACCACGCCCGGATATCTAGAAGACACCGACCACGCAACGTAGAAACCCCTAAGCGAGTTTTCCTACGAGAGGCCAGATACGGAAGCAAGCTGTCCTCACCGGACCTTGGCCGAGCCAGGTCCCGGGTCCCTCCCACCGGTCTCGGCCTCGCTGGATGACGTGTCTGAACTCCGGAGGCGGAAGCCGGGAAGAGGTCGTCAGAGTAAGCATTGGAGGGTGTGCTGCGAACCAGATCTGCGCATGCGGGATTTGCGCACTTTTCGGGCTGATTGTGTCTGGAGTCCGTTTTTTGAGAAATACTCCATTTCTCCAGGTTTTTGCTGATGCCTTGCTTGGGGGCTTGAGGAGGTGGCGCACTTTGGAGTTACAAGTCTTGCTGAATTTTTGTCATTAGGCAGTTGGGACCTCCCAGTCTGCTATGGACTCTGCCTCAAGTGAAACCGAAACCAAACCCAACCCACTGCCATTCAATTGATTTAGATTCATAGCGACCCCTCTATAGGGTTACTAAGGCAGTAAATCTTTATGGAAGCAGATTGCCTCATCTTGCTTTCCCCCCGGAGCAGCTGATGGTTTTGAACTGCCAACCTTCTCGTTATCAACCAAATGAATTAAGCACTGCGCCACCGATAAATTGGGAAAATCTCTCCCTTCGTCTCTACCTCATCATCTTCTGTAAAAGGAGGTTAAGCTTGTATGGGAAACTTCTTAGGCTTATTCAGGGCTAAAAGTCAGTGACTGTAACTTCTGTAATACTTATTGCCCAACTAGTACCACTTATGTAGTACTCTGACTTCTTACTCATTTTGTCCTTTTCGTTTTCCATTCTTCCACAATTATTTAATTGAGTTCCTACTGTGTGCCAGACACTGCTCTAGGCCCTGGGGATATGTTGTTGCTTTGTGCCCTTGAGAAACCGACTAACAGACCCATCCTTGGGTTTCCGAGGCATATCACTATGGAGTACGTTGCTTTGTGCCCTCGAGAAACCGACTAACAGACCCATCCTTGGGTTTCCGAGGCATATCACTATGGAAGTACATTGCCCAACGTTCCTTCGGAGGAGTGGCTGGTGGGTTTGAACCGCCAGTCTTCTGGTTAGCAGTCAAGTGGCTTAGGCAGTACGCTACCAGAGCTCCCTGTTGATACAGAGGTGAGCAAAAGTATGTCCCTAACTCTCATGGAGCTTATAGAAATGGGGAAATAAGACAATAAAGAAACGTGCTATTTCCAGATAGCGGTATGTACTGTGGAATGCCAAGATATTTAAGCAGTAGTATGATATTAAGGGACTTAAGGATTTTATAAAATCACGCTTGGCAAGAGTGGAAGCTGGAAGGCTATTGCAGTAGTCCAGTGGAACTATGATTTTGGCTTGGACTAGAGTAGTGGTAGGAACTCTGGTAGCGTAGTGCCTAAGGCACTTGACTGCTAACTAGAAGGCTGGCGGTTCAAACCCACCAGCCACTCCTCGGAAGGAAGGTTGGGCAATCCTACTTCTGTAGTGATACTGCCTCGGAAACCCAAGGAGGGGTTGCTATGAGTCTGGTCGACTGACAGCGCATAACAACAACAGAGTAGTGGTGGAGTCCTTTTCCCTAACTGAAAGATTGGCAGTTTGAACCAACTTTTAGGAGCTTTGGAAGAAAGCCCCAGCAATCTGCTTCTGAAAGAAATACAGTTCTCTGAAACACATGGGGTCACCATGAATCAGCATTGACTCACAGCAACCGGTTTGGTTTTTTTAGAAAGGTGACAGTGGACATGGAAAGTAGTGAGAGGATTTAGTCTACAGCTTGGCAGTCAGCAAACAGGATTTTGCTGATGAGCTGGATGTGATGTGTAAGGAAACAAGAAATTACGGTTATCTCCTAGTTTTGAGGCCTAGGAAACAGGTGGATTCCAGTGCCATTTCTAGAGGTAGGGAAAGTTAGTTAGGAAAAAGATGGGGTGGGGGCAATGAGATAATGAAGGCTGAGTAGGAATTGTCAGGAGGCTGAGTTTTATGGAGAGCCAATTTTGATAAGTGCCAAGAAATTAATTTGAGTAAAACATGATAAAAATAAACTAAATATCAAGTACTTAATGTAAAATTAATTTATGAAAACAAATTTTAATGAAAGTTATAAACCTTCCCTGGGGAAAATATATAAACAGAAGAATTTAGATAGAATTGCATAGGGCTCAAAAACTTTCCTGAAGTACATCCTTCCTATCTTTGAATTCTGAGGTGTTGTCCCCCAGGTTACAGATGTTCCCAGACTATGCATTAGGGTGCACATAAGTAGGGTTTGTGAAACTCACTGTAGAAAATACTGAAGAAACTAACTGCTGTTCTAATCTCACAGGAAAAGTTCACAACTATGTTAGAAAGTCCTTAGACAATTTATCAGGCTTGCATCCCAAGTGGGAGCCCTGTGGTGGGCCCTGAAAGCAACTTGGACAGAAGTGTTGTTGTTGTTGTTATGTGCCTTTGAGTCAAACCTGACTCATAGCGACCCCTTCTTGGGTTTCTGAGGCAGTATCACTACGGAAGTAGGATTGCCCAACCTTCCTTCCGAGGAGTGGCTGGTGGGTTTGAACTGCCAGCCATCTGGTTAGCAGGCAAGTGTCTTAGCCACTATGGTACCAGAGCTCCCTGGACAGAAGTGGGGTGGCCAAAGTTCTTAAGAAGCATTAATTGAGAGGGGTCCAAGTATATTTTTATTACATTGTTTTCCCTAATTTATCCATTTGTTATTTGAAATAAATTAAGTAGATTTTTTTTTTTTTTTCTGGTGCCACTCCTGGGAAGGAAGTTTGGGCAATCTACTGCTCTAGTGATACAGCCTCGGGAACCCAACAAGGGGTCACTATGAGTTGGGTTTAACGACAGCAGTGAGTTTGTTTTGGTTTGGTGCTATTATAGTGGGCACTGGCTACGCCCTTTGTCTGAAGCTGAAAAATATCTTTGGCCCTAAGACCAAGTATTTAGTGGCATCAGATAAATAGAAGATAGTGAACGTCTAGACACTTTTCCAGTGCTCAGGCCCCTATTAGACTGATTGGGGGGTGGTGGTGGCAATATTGACTTATAAAAATGACTGCCATTCTTCCTTGTCAAGTAATGAGCAGTTTACATATGTTTTTCATTTGATCTTCACAACCTAGAGATAGACATTCTTTTCTCTCTACTTCTCAGTGGAAGAACCTAGTACTTAATTAACTTGCCCAAGGTCACATAACTTTCAGAAAGTGGTGTTTGAAAGTTGGAGTTTATAGTCCAAACTACCTTTGTAAGCAAGAATTTTATTGTCTTGTTATCCCATAATCAGTGGTTCAGAGAGGTCATAAGACCCTTCTGAAAATTTAATGAAATTTATAAACCTTTCCTGGGGAAAATGTATGAACACCTACAAGAATTTAGGTATGATTTCATAAGGCTCAAAACCTTCCTAAAGACCAGCCTTGCCTATCCTTGAAGTCTGAGCTGGATGTACCCTCCAGTTATGATTTCTTGCTATGTAGGCTAAAATGGTACAGTATCCTAAGTCTTCAATTGAAATACAAAGCTCAAGTGAATTGACTTATTTTTTTAATGTCACTGAAATAGCAAGTTTTTCATTGAAAAATGCTTTACAAATGTACACACACATGCACACTTGTATGTACACATAAACAGATAATCTTATCACATCATTGATAGGGAAAGTGACAGGGACTTGCTCAAGGGTAATCATACCAAGTTTCTCTTTGGCCAGAACTTTCTTCATTGAGCTCTCAAGTGTGCCCATGTCTTCTTTTGCAAAAAAGTATCAGCACTACTTCAAACCCTACCCCTTTCTCCCCATCACATTTCTACCTTAAAGAGGTCTATTTATCCCGTGCAAACAATCGCTGTCCCTCGCAAGAATGCGCCACAGCTTCCAACACTTGGAAAATACACGCACCTCTGAATAGCTAAGGATCTGTGGCTAGTTCCTTTGTTTCCTTTTTCCAACCAGGTGTATCCCTAACTTTCCTTCCCACTTTGCCACCAACTCTATGTCCATCAGGGAGCTCTGGTGGCCTTAGTGCCTAAGGCATTTGATTAACCAGAAGGCTTGAAACCCACCAGCCACTGCTCTGAAAGTAGGTTGGGTAATCTACTTCCCTAGAGATACCGCCTGGAAACCCAAGGAGGAGTCGCTGAGTTGGGACCGACTCAGCGACAGTGAGTTTGGGTTTTGGTCTATATCCATCGCAAATATTTAATGCAGCACCAACTCTGTGATAAGAGTCACAGTGCCGCGGACAGTGTAGTGAGAAGATCGTGTGTTGTTCACGGGAAATTTAACGCATAGCTGAAACAGCAAGCGCTGGACAAGCCGTACACTTCAACGTTCCCCTCAGAGACGTCCAGATCGGAATTTGGAATCAGAATGTGAATCCCGGTACAGATCCTCAGGGTTCCCAGTCTAGCTGGCCAGCTGAAAACCTGGAAAGTGGATTTTCTCCATTCTGCCTCCCGGAAACTCTGAGCGCTTAGCGGACCGCTTTACTGAGCATGTGCAGAAAGTGCTGCGCATGCTCTACTGGGGTCCCGTTCGGTTTCTGTTGCGGGACCCGCTGTGTCTCCTAGTGCAACCGGAACTGTCCCTCGCGGGGCCGGCCTGCTTCGTCTCAGGCGGCCTTGTTGTCGTCTCCGAGCTTCCCCGCCCCTCCTTCCCTCTTTACCCCATAGGCTTGGCTGTTTTTTCCCCGAAACAGTCGTCATGAGTGTGAAGCTGCGGGAGTCTTCTCCACCTCGTTGGCCGCAGCTGTTGCTACTGTCGCTGCTTCTGCTGGGGGCGGCACCAGGCCCACGCCGGGGCGACGCTTTCTACCTGCCGGGCCTGGCGCCCGTCAACTTCTGCGAGGAAGAAAAAAAGAGCGGCGAGTGTAAGGTGGGTGAGGCCTGGTGGACCCCCAGGTACACTGTTGTACGGGAAAGTCTCCTGTTCCGGAGAACTGGGGTCACTGAGTGGGGGAGTAAAGGAAAGGGGGCGTAGCAGTAAGACTTTCCCCCTAAGTCCTTAGACTCGGTCGCTTTGGGGTTGGAAGTTCTGGAACGGCTCTTGTAGAAGAAAATTCTGGAGGACTCAGTGTAGTCTCACGTCTTGCCGGCTAAGTTGCATTCAGTTTTATTCGAACAGGGACTGTGTATCGCGCTCCCTAGGAACTGGGCTTCACGATTTCAGTCCTTTCAGTTGGATGCATGCTGGTCAACAGTTGTTCCGTGACTGAGTGTTCGCTCACAGCTTTGTCTCATGGTTTCTAAAGAACTGGACGATCAGGCCCGTGACTGTGAGCAACTCCAGCTTAGCTACAACTTCCATTAACTTCTTACTTTATTGCTTCCTGTTTTATTGTACTTTCCTGGAACCTTGGTTGGTTATGAGAGCCTGTTCTTCCTAAGACTATTATGTCTAATTTAATGACTAGCAGTTGGTTCCTTAATTGTGAAATGTAACACTCAGAACTGCAAAAATTGCATCATAAAGAATTTCTGTACAGCTTGAAACGCTTAATCTTTGCCTTTAAAATGTGAGCAAAATTTTCATTACATAAAACCTCGCTGCTTATCTGAGATTGTTTTAAACACTTAAAAAAGGCACACGGTGGGGAGAGACTCGTGGTTTCTTTCTAGGGCAAGTATGAAAACTTTGATCTTGTAAGACATTCATACTCAAGGTTTTCAGTTTAACTAGTAGTAAAAGAGACAGAAGTAAACTAACCTGCTTTTAGGTTATTCAGTGTAGACCACAACAGTATACATACACAATTACAATATTATGTTAAGTTGTTAAGACTTCTCATTTGAGGGATGAGAATCTCTTTGAAACTGTTAATAATTTTAACATTTCAAAAATTTTTCTGCAAACTTTACCACCTGTAAAACCCAACTATCATTAAAATGATTCCAACGTGACCTGACAGGATGGAGTAGAACTGGCCCAAATTGCCACATCTTTTTCTTGTGGAGTGGCTGGTAGGTTCAAACTGCTGACCTTTTGATTAGCAACCTAGTGCTTTAGGGTTTCTTTTACCACCTATTAATAGGTTTATTTACTAAGTGTTTTTAAGTTGGTGTTTATTTTATTGCTGCTAGTTTTACTGTAGCTGTAAATTTTGAACATATTTTAGAGCATTAAAGAAGTTGTTAAATTGTTCATAGCATTTTCATTATCTGTTTAGATTTGTCAGCTAACCTGATTGACCTACTAGTTCTGTTCTAAGACTAGCTTCTGTTCATCTATCTAAGGACTTTTAAGGTTTATTGAAGTCAGCTGATAGTAGTTGACTACTTTTACTCTCATACCCTACAGTGCAAGGAGCTCTGGTAGCGTAGTGCCTAAGGCACTTGACTGGTAACCAGAAGCCTCCTCGGAAGGAAGGTTGGGCAGAAGGAAGATGGGGCAACTACTTCCATAGTGATACTGCCTCAGAAACCCAAGGAGGGGTCGCTATGAGTTGGGTCTGACTCCACGGTACATAACAACAACAACAAACCCTACAGTGCAAGAAGCTTTCACTCCCTTTGAGAGTTCTGACGGAAAGAATATATAATGCTTTCAAGTGGATGGAAGGAAAAGATGTTCTTGCAAGCATACTGGTTATTCCATTAAATATTTTAGTAATCAGCCTTTAAAACCTAGTATTTGTCCTTTAAATTTAATTTTAACAGCAATCATATATTGTATTCTTTGTGCTTCAAAGATGAAAAATGTATTCTTTGCCCTCTAGGAACCTCAAAATAAGACACATAACCTTATGAACAGATTAGTGAAATCTGATAGCTTATAAAAGATGTATGTCCAAAGTATCTAAAACATAAATGAGGGAACATTTGTGGATTGGAATCTTCAGGGAAAGCTATAGGGAGGAAGTGACATTTGCGATGGGCCTCAGAAAATGAATATGAATGACATTTACAAATGGTCTACCAGTTAGATGATTTTTCTCAACAGCTCCTTTCAAAGTGGCTAAGTTTTAGTTAATTTCAGGGCATCTTTTAGGATTTTTAATTTTTATAGGTGTAAAACAGACAAGGCAGATCATTTTTCTGAAATGTTTTGATCTTTGTTGCCAGCTGTTCTGACATCTTGGTAAATGGAACCAACTCTTGTAAAAGGAGAAGAATGTGCTTTTAGCACTTTTTCCCTATAATTTGACTAACTGATGAAGGGAATTTGAAGTAAATTTTACTATTTTTTTCTTTTTGCCTTTCAAAGGAGAAGCTGTAAATACTAGTAAACAGTTTAATTTGTGTTGCATAAGTCAGTATTAATAATTTATTCTCATCCATTTCTTATTTGTTAAGGAGGACAGTGTTGTACACATTATTCAGAAAAGCTGAAGAGACAACTTTTTAAAATTAGAAATAGGAGTTGTGACATGGGCATAATTATTTTCAGAAGATGCTGTCAGGAGTTGGATAAATGAAGCTCTTATTTATTGGGAAGGTCATTAATAATTGTGTCTATCAGTAAAATGCATCTGTAAAATAGGATAATCATATTTGCTTATTATGTATTAGTATTTCCCTTGAAAGGTACCTTTTTTCCTTTTTTTTGGTTAGAGGAAAAGTAGAATATTTCATTGCTATAATATTGTAAGACAGACACAGGGATAAAACAAGTATATTTTCATCATAAACATAATTTATGTACTCTTCACATGTACTTCAAAGTACAATGTTTTGAATTTAGCTCACTACGTGAATTGAGATCAAAATAATCCTAAGGATTTGGTTGTTTTCTCACAAATTATTTTATGTTAAATTTATATCACTCTCAACGATTTATGATCTTTATTAGGCTAAGTAATGTGTGGCTATGTTAATTTACTACCACTGAGTATACATACATTTGAATAGCAACCTAGTGGACATTCTTACAATTTTTTAGTAACTACATAGTGTTTTGAAGACCCCCAGTGGTGCAGTAAGTAGTTTAGCCCTTGAGCAGTTCAAATCCACCAGCTGCTCCTTGGGAGAAAGATGTGGCAGTCTGCTTCTGTTAAGATTTACAGCCTTGGAAACACTATGGGCCAGTTCTACTCTATCCTGTAGGGTTGCTTTGAGTCAGAATGGACTCAACAGCAACAGATTCTGGTATATAGTATGTCATTCATTAAAGTGCTATGGTTTGCTTATTCATTTCTTGGTTATAGGGCATTTAGGTTGGTCACAATTTTTCTCTATTATAAATAGCTTTGCTAGAATGTATTTAGCAGGAATCCATATATTCCAGTATGAAATTACTAGGTCAAAGGGAAGAAGCAGTTTCATAGCTTCATTTAATATTACCAGATTTCTTTTCAGAAAGGTAAGTTTAATTACAGTGCTGTTTACTAAATGATTACCTGTGGGTAGTCTCCACAATGTTTTAATTTTTACTTACCAATTTAATAGTTATGTGATGGTACTTAAACCATTTTTTATGTATTACTTTTATTGTTACTGAGATTTTTGTATCTTTCATTTTTCTTTGAATTGTTAGTCTTTGAAATACAGTAATAAAAGCTTGAGCCATGGTATTCTTTTCCTGAAGAATTCATTTTACTTTCTTAAAATCAAAAGACAATATATTGATTGCAATAAGTTAGGTAAAGCCATGATTAGTGGAATAGATCTTCACAGAGTAAAGTGTGAAGTTCTCATTCTACAGTTTTTTTTTCAATTTGTGGCATGCTGTTTGGCAAATCTTAAGTGTGCTGTGTGGAATCTTGGTGATGAATAGTTTGAAGATTAGTCATCAGTTCACTTACACTGCATTTAAGTTTCAAGTAATTATTGGCTTGTGTGGTGCAATGGGTTGCTTTTTATATGGGCTTTATAGCCATGTTCTTTTTTTTTTTTTTA